ACCCTGCGCAGGTCAAGTAGCCGTTTTAATTTTGGTACGCGCAGTAGCGATGGTCTTTCCTGCCATTGCACTCTAAAGCAGCCTATGTATGAGTGTGTCAGCCTGTTCATACCTTGCTAATTTAATCCAAAGTTTAATAATTTCATTTAAAAATCTTCTCCAAATTCCTATCACTTCCGACCTCTCTAAGACTCCGAGCATTTGCTGCGCATCATAGAAACTCCTAGAATTAAATTTGAAATAATCTGTTTCGATACTTTCTAGTCGGACTCCTATCCTAGTCCACTCCCAGATTTCTCCCATAAGTTCATACTGGAAGGAACTATCGATTGAAATTGTATCGCACACTTCTATCCGGCAACTTCCGGAACACCTGCGCATGCGCAAAAGCTAATTTCTTGAGCGCAATTCTTCTTTGCGTGAGCGAGTCAGTATTGTGATTATCCATCCCATTCAGGAAAATTTTGCACCAAGATATGTGATGTTTGACGCGGTCAATTTCTTCCCTAGCGTGGTACCATTTTTCTTGCTACCCAGAATAAACCACTTTGAATACTAGTACTTTCGTTTTTTAATGTTTACTTTTCGTCCACCATGTCTCACTATACCTGTTCTAGAATTTTAAACTTCTGTAAGCCTCAATCGTCTCCAACATAAAGACTAAATCACAAGCATATAGATAGTCCCGGGAATTGTCAAGCATCAATTACCGGCGGCCGGTGTATCCGCTTCGCTGTTACCACGTCAATAAATCGTTATAAGCAAGATAACAGCACGGTGAAAGAGGACACCCTGTTTACTCTACTGTCGATTTTAATTTTTTTGTCGATCTAATACTTCGTTACTGGCACTGACACAGAAATGTACCTCCTATATTAGCATACTCTTCAATACAGTTTAAAACTTTCGTGAGACGCTAGCTCATTAGTTTTCGCCATAATAGCATCCCTTTATAGAGGTCAAAAGCCTTTTCGAATCTACAAAAACTGCAAATATAAGTGGCCCTGTTACTAGGTATCTAACACAAATATTGTCGGTTGTCGCGGAAGCCTCTCCTAAAGCCTGCTTGCATTCTGATATTTTACGCGTTACTTTTCCGCCATTGAGTATTTTACTCAATGGGCGGCAATTATACTCATTCGCCAGCTGAGTATTTTAAGAACAGTTTGCTCAGGCGCTGGCAAAAGAGACTAATTCCGGTCGATAATTTTGTGGGCATTCGCATCTCTTATTTTTTAAAAAATCGTATGGAGATAGCTGTACTCCAGCGTTTCTGATACGGCTCGGAATCAGCCAATTGCATTAATAACTTCATACATACTTTTCTGGCTCTATGTGACAACAATTTCCGAAATAAATTTTGTCGGAATGCCGTCCGCATCACTGCCTTCTTATATTCATTGTTAGAATAGCCCTATTTACTCAGTAGTATAGAGGGTTCGGTCTAATGAGCACACCTCCGGTCAGACCCCCCCCCCCCGTGAAAATACCTTGCCTGTTTCAATTTCGTCTGATACTGTGAACGTCCGTGCAAAATATTGCACCCACGCGTCTGCTGAAATTTCATTACTTGAATTTATTTAGTTGCGCAAGATCTGATAACGTCCCAAATTGATTTACTATAATCGTTATCGTCTATGAATTGTCTGTATTCTTGCCCCCCCTGCTTCACTATCCTCGCAAGATTTCTTAATTGTGGCCTCGTACTGCCTACGTAATAACAATAACTGTTTTCAGTCTCTTACCGTCTCCACTGTTTCTGAAATTTCTTAAGGCTATTATGTTTCGCGCCTGGTCTCCCGAACTCTCCTAAAGCACGTCTCATTCCTTCCTCTCTCCCCACTCGCATACTTCCCTGCCGTCGTAGAGCCGCTTTTCTAAGTTCATTGTTTTGCGTTTCCGGCGAGCAATCCTCTCGCGTCCACCCCGTTCGAGTTAAGAATATCCGTCAAATTCCTGTCCTTTTCCTCTTTCCATACAACACGTTTTTCTTCTATACGTCCAAGTCGTTTGCTCTTGCCCGCTCCGGCGATGAACGTGCAAAGATGTACTGCCTAATGCACGCACACAGGCAAATGATCAGATTCTGTCCGTATTCGATCCCAAAATCTAATATTGTGTATTCTTTCTGGGCCACAGACGTTATCTATTTACACTCCCTCCATTCCACTAATAAAGTTAGTTCCCCTTTCCGTATCCCGTCCAAGCTGCCATTTAAGATTACTGAGATTTAAATCTTTGCAGTAATTCTAAGCAATTCTGCCATCATATTGATGACCGATGAGTCTTTGCTTTTTCTGGAATTTCGCTCTCTGCTCTTGCGGTCGAAGTCCGAAAAACTTCCTGTTTCATTGCATTCGAGCATTCATTGCCACTAACACTAGTAAATTAGTACTGTGGGTACCTCAGCTTAACGTATCTAGGAAATCATTTATTCGTCGAGAGTCCGGAGTAAATAACGCGAAACCCTGTGGGTGCGTAGATAAACACAATGGCAATATCTATATTTTGCACTTACTAGTCTAATACAAGGAAATTGTGCTGAGGTTGGTCTTAATTTCATTAATAACACTGCATTAAGCATAGTCCAAAATGCACGCAACCACGCACCGGGTACCGAACCCTTTCTCTCAACGTTTTTTTATTTTTTCGCATATGGCTGTAAAACCAGCACATAGATACAGTTTCCTACTCCTCTTCCACATTTCAACAAGACAATTACATCAAAAGTATTAATGTACCATGGAAGTCTTGATTACCGAGTTATAGCCTAGACTTTGATTGTTCCAACACTTCTACTCTTAAAACCTATTTTGCTATTTGGTGAAATGTTGATGCCACCGACTCACCGCGAGCTTCCTGCTGCTGCGCGAGGCTCGCCATCGCCCTCGTACGCGGACCTCGCTCCGCGCTTTCGGCCGCGACCGCCCGGCACTGCGACGGAGTCGCGAGCTGCGCCGGGTTCGAGCGCTACCAGCGGCGCAACGGTACCGCGATTGCTTCGCCTCGAGCCGTGGGTCAGAGTCGCCGCGCCGCCCCGACGAGGCGCAGCAGCCGGTGCGGCCGCTGTTTCCGGCCTCACGGGCGCGCGTGGGGCGGCCGCGAGCAAGTGGCCCGATTGTCCGTAAGGGTGTCCGCCTACTGGGTTCTGCCCCCTCGGCGATTCACGGGGCCCCCGCCCCGCCCCCTCCCAAGCTCGCGGACAGCGGCCCGCAGCGCGCCAGGCCGATAGCTGCGCCTCCAGACAAGCTGTGTCGAAACAATAGACGCCTTCATCCCGCTCGCTTTCGCTCCTGAAAGTGGATTAACGAGCCTTACGCGTGTTGTCGCACTGCTCCAGCTTCAGTCCTCTCGGACGCGCACCATGCTATTTCTGGGAGAGATGCTCTCCGGCTGCACGCAAGCAGGCTCCTCGCCGCTTCCGCGAATGAGCAGCTTGGCCACAATCATGCGCGGGCTGTCCCCACACGCCGCTCCGGTGCGGCGGCTCGATGTCTTTGAAGCTCCAAGCCTGACAACTAGCTGCTCAAGCTAAACCCAGAATACACTTTCCGAAATCCGCCTCTATGACTGCTTCCGCTGGCTTCTGGATGCAAGTAAACAATGATATTGTTACGAAACGCGAATTGGTTTTCAATGTAATCCACTTGCGGCACAACCGCGTCGTTGTGGCTGTCCTGCAGCGAACTGCACTGTCGCCGTGCGACTTCACCTAGCTGTAATGAATGAGCCATCATATCATCTCCTTATGTTATGATCAAGATGTCGATGATCTGCGGCTTTAGTGGGGGGGGGGGCGGATTCAGCTCGACCATCGATCCCAAAAGCACCGCCATCACATGTCCGCGCCAGCACGCTCGCAAGTAGCCCCAGCCGCCCCTGCGCTGTCCCCGGCACAGCCTATGCGCGCAGGTAGACCCTCACCCAGCGCCGATTAGCCGCCGCACTGTCTGTCGTAGACACCTGCAGCAGGTAGAAAACACGTCCGCTCGGCTCGGCGTCTGGAGTGAGACTCATGATAGAACTTTCGAAATGGGTGGCTCTCATTTGTTTTGGTGACTTTTGTGTTATTTAATATTAGTAACCATTGGCTAATGATCTTGGAAAGACCGTTGGTAATTGCATTTAAAAATTAAGGAAATATATTTCCAAAACCGGTGTTGTGTTCTCCAAACGAATATAGCACTTCATAATTTTTATGGAGAGCAGAATCGTTCATCGGAGCAACTTATTCACGGAACTGTTGTTCATTTTAACATTTACTCCACTCGATTGATAACTGATCCACATTTTTATCGAAAAATAGTGTTCAGTGACGAAAAATTGTGTTAATTTTTGTTTTAATGGTTATATCAACAAGCATAATTGCCATAAATGGAGTGAGGCCAGAACATTCACGTGTCTCCATTTTATACTGAAAAATGCACTGTACGCTGCGCGTTACATGCTGAAGACATCACCGTTGTTATTTCTCGAAGGAAAAAAAAAGCCCGGAGCGCGTGGTACTGTCAGTGGTGATCGTTACAGGTCAATGAAAATTAATTATTTATTTACAAATTTGCTTGATATTGAGTTGTAACAGTTTTTGTTTCATCAATACCTCACCTCAAATTGTTACCTCAACAACCGAATTATTGAACACACAATTAAACGACAAACTTTTTGCACGAAACGGTCCGGTCAATTGGCTTCCAAGATCATGTGATAGAATGCCACTGAATTATTTTCTCTGGAGACATGTAAAGTCTCTGATTTTTGTTATTTTAGTGTAGTCGTGCGTGCAACAAGCAGCGTGCAGTGAGCACCATTGTGACATTCGCAAACATAAATTTCGGGTGCTGCCTGTCACGAGCGAATGAGTGACAAGGAACCACGCTGTTGCGTTAAGAAGAAGCAATACTATTATTATTTTATGTAGATTTTTTGCCCAGAATGGCCCTTGACATTGCCCATTTCCTTGGACATTGATTTAATTATATGAATTCATTATTTTGTTCCAGAGTTTACTGACATGGGGCGGGTATAAGAAGTTGAGACGAAGGAAGAGCCGGTGGAGAATAGTCTACATCGTCGTAATTAGTTCCTGGTAAGTACGGAGAATAATTTGTTACTTCTACATTACTCGAACTGAGGAAGAAATGCTAATAGCTTTTATGTACTTTCTTGGAACGGAATGTACTTTGATACACCGAGATCTGCTGTTAATTCTAGTCGATTTAAGTAACAATAACTCTGTTGTGTTACAACATAGAATACGTCTTTTTATCCAAAGCTAAGACGTGCATAGTTATTTTCTTTCCAACAAATATCTCATATAATCTCAAAGGGAAACTTCAGTGACGGATTATATTAATGTGGACGACGACCGTGTACGAATAACTAGTCATAACTGCCATCATTATTAATAATTTACGCTTTCTCGTTATCTCTGACTCCAGTCTCTATTCAGAATTTCTTATGCAACGATTCTATTTGCGAGCGACTGATGAGTGACCCATTGAATGGGGACATGTATGTGCTTCAAGTTTTAAAATGTCAGAGCAAAGGATGTTTAAGTAAATGGTAAAATAAAACATGTTGAGTTGACGAAATTCCTAGTTCAAGAGACGAATTAAAACAAAAGAAAAGTGTAATAAAATCTTTGATTTGAGAACTTTGTAAATCGAACTTTGTATTTTTATGTTGATTTGGATTTGATGTTTTATGCCTCAATGTAATTTTTTATTATAAACATATTTTCCAAGAATTTCGCTTCCGTTTTTAATGAAGGTTGGAGATTGTGCAATAATACGGTGACTGGAAGCATTGGAATATTTATCTCCTTCTACTGTGGTATTTACAATGGAATGTATATGAATGAACAATGTCGAAATACTTTCTTAGTTTCTCCTTTGAACGCAATTTTGTTATTTTGCGATCTTGTCGCCAAATGAGTCATCTAGTTTTTTTTAACGTTTTGGTATATAGGTCGTTAGTATCACTTCTCCTCCTAGAAACTCCGCTAAACCCGGAATATGAGTCGTCAGGAATTTGCTCAGTCCTTTGATGATTAAAAATATAACTGACAGCACTTGTCCACAAACGTCACAAAGGTTTTCTTCCAGTTATATATAATGGTTTACAACCTGCAAATAAAACCTTACTTCTCTGAAGTCTGCGTCATTAATGAATCACAAGTACAAAATAGCAAATCTCAGATATGAATACAGCTTCGCGATAAATAGCGCGAATGCTTGTAACACTGCGGATGAACCGAGCAAGCAATTGACTTCACGTATGGTGAAACACGACAACTACTAATTTGTGTGATGGGGCTTGGTAAACTTCTTAGTTTGCCATTACATTTGTCGAGGGTGAAGACCAATTAAGAATAAAACTGAAGGTAGCTACTTTCCAAAATTGGAGTGCCAGGGTGTTAGGATTGAAAATTACATAGTCTTATTTTCTGATAACGTTCAATGTTAAATAAGTTGGATTAACACTCTGCAGTTGGTGGTGCCGACAAAAAACCTCTAACTGTCCTTACTTTGATACTGTTCACTACGTTACCAAAGAAACGCTGAAATGAAACTGATGTCGACGTGTTTTACGTAATTATGATTTATTAGCACAAATAAGAACTCTGACAATCTCTTGTTTTCTTTTTTTAAAGGAGGAAATGAGAGGGAATATCGAGGAACATGTAAGGAAACTTACTAAATATTGATCCAGTTTGAAGCTATTTTAGCTCTTAAAATAATGATTTTCAAAATGATTAACTTTCGTACGGGTTCAGCTGCATTTAATTAATACGTAGGGGATCAAGGCTTCGTCTTATGGTGGAAATATTCGCTCAGAAATGATCTTGTTAATTATCTTTTCAACTCTCCGTTGTGTCTGGAAGGTGTTGGGGTGAATCCATGATGTCAGTTGTTGAACTGTATGCCAACTGACACGAGCAAGAGCTTGTGAAGTTATCACATTCATAAATCGGAGTGTGTGTATTTATTCTGAAAACAAGTGATGGAGTTACTTGAGGGGTATGATTAAAACAGTAAATTTTATCCAATCTTCCTAAACCATATTCTTTATATTCTGAATAAAACGTTTTAGAATCATTTCATTATTTATTATGTTCATAAATAGGCATATTTCGAGATTGGCATGAAACACAGCTACTACTCTTCAACTTGGAGGACGCACTTAGGGATGTGGCTAATTGGTTTATCGTTATTTCATCATTCTCTTTCATCTAAATATATACGTGGTCTATTCTGGAACACATGGCAAGATACCACCAAGAGACCCAGGCAATTTCCCAACAGAGATAGAGGGCACTCAGTCTAGTAGAAGAAACCAGCAAGTTAATGCTGTTTTTATGTTTATAACTAAGGTCATAAGCCGTACAGGCGAAATAAAATACATAATTCAACATTTTTACGTTTCGTAGAAAAATGCATATTTCAACGTAGAAATATGAAAGCCATTTGCCTGTTCACGACACCGCGTGTAAATTAAAGACTGCTACTCCATCGTCCAAGAAAACCAATCAATTTTCTCCCAACTTGTCAGAGACTACTTTTTGCGCCCGAACACCTGTGTTACGCGTCAATACTCAATGAATGATACAGGAGGCTCATTATGAAAGGTGGTAGAGAACAGCAAGCACATTTTTCAAACGTGAGACTTCACCCAACCTTCTTTGGGGCTGAGCAACGAACAGCATTGCGTTACTCGGGCTTTCGATGCATGTGGAGGGGGATGGGGTGGACAGGATGACAGAATGAACTTAGGCGAACACCACCACATTTGTGTTAAGTGAAACTAGAACTCACAACTCTTTGAACGGAGCTAGAGTCCCCACATTAAGCATCTAGCCCATTTGATTTCTGAACTTAGGCGAGTGACGAGGTGTAAGTCTCGATTTTACGATACAGGTTTTCACAATAGCGACGGGTCTGTATTCCACTGAATGAGAAATGGTAGCGTGATCAGGAATAGTGTGAATGATTCTGCCTCATGAATGATTATTGTGTTGATATTCAGGTGGCGAAGTGAGAAGCCAACCTCACTACCACTTCCTGACCCTCGCACGAGATCCGAACCGAAAGACTTCGGCTCCGAGTTGTTGGATGCTGCTCCAACCGTTGCGTCACCGCCGTCTACAGGTTCTTTTTACAGGCGTCGTTATTTCCTCTCCTATGTCGGCGTGCACGGGCGTGGTACCGGGAGAGATGGCTCGGACATAACTGATGTCACTGCAGTCCCTCTGGCCGGCAGGTTCAAGGTTCGAGTCCCGACGGTGGCAGGATTTTCGACGTTAGATTGTCAGCTAGGTCGAATTCAGCCGAGTCTGGAGGAGACTTATAGAACCCGACTGCTGTCTGATCGGTAGTTTTCCGTGGTTTCTGCGATCAACACCATGTCGGAGTGGTACTCAACAACTGGGCCGCGTGCGATCTTTCTTTCCTCTTCCTTGTGCTATCCTTATCCCTTACACACAGTTACACTTACAAGCACTACACTACCCCACATGTCGGAAGACCGGTCGGAAGCTTAGAGTTTGTCCCGGCTGGAGAAGTGCCCCGCTAATGGGAGATACCTTGTTGAGGAAAACCCCGCTAGCCGACTGTAAGTCGGCGCCGGATCTCGCCATACAGAAGGCCACCGCCACCTCCCGAGCAAAACATGCACTACACTTACGGGTCCAATGACCGTAGTAGTTGACGCGCCTGCAATCACTATCAATCGCAATGAACAGCCGCGGTCGTTTTGCGAGAAGGTAGCCTCACGCTCACGCGGAAGGCGCGCGGCGCGGCGCTCGTCTGGCCTCGCCGTGCCGCTCGCACGCTCGCCCCGCTGGAATGTGGGAAGCCTGCCAGAGAGAGGAGGATGGCCGATGCGACGTAGAAGAGGGTGGGAAGGAGAAGAGAGCAGAGGCAGGCGGCCGAAGCCGGATTTAGCGCCGACCGCCCCGCGCCCCAGCCCATCGATTCGCATCCGCCGCCACGCGGCGCGCCCTCGCCCGTCCACGCCCCCCGCCCGCCCGCCCGCCCGCCCGCCCGCCCGCCGCACCGGCTGAAGAGAGCGGTGGAGCGGAGCAGAGAGGAGAGGAGCGGAGCGGAGCGCGCAGGCTCCTCCTGGCCCTCTGCCAGCTGCGCGAGCGGATTCGGAGCCCGAGGTGGCCGCGCCGCGCCGCGAGGCGGGCCCCGCTCACTTCCGCGCGCGAATCCCACGGGCGGAGGCGCCACCGGGCGCTTCCTCGCGCTGATACCGGGGTGGTCGGGCTGGCAATGAAGATAACGACGGGCACAAATGGAGGATGGCCGGCACCCGCGGGAAGGCAGGGTCGCAGAAAAATTCAGGGCATTACTCGGAGAGGATGAGGGTATTACCTCGAAATATTAAGAAATTGTCGTAAACGTTTCTTAATTCTTCGGAATTATTGCCGGAAATTCCGTTTACTCGGTGATTTTCGACAAAAACTCATATTGTCGGCCCCTGGGAACCAAAAAGATGGTACATCTAGTTCATAAACGAGAAATAAATTACTTCCTCTGACACGTTTTGTAGTCAGAATCCAAGTTTTGTGGGCCCTTGTTACCGAACAATAACTGGAAAACTTTTTCAAAATAAGAATAGATTGCGTCTAATTTTCCCTGAAGTATAGGCAGTTTTTAAACAATTATTTTCTCAAAAAGTTTCCAATTTTTTTCTTTACATTATTCCTCGAATGTGCCAAAGAACGGGGAAAATGTGTTTCTGTTCTCATTTTCGGCGAACTATTTTTTCTCATTAATTTGAAAACAATTAACATCGAAAAAATACTGAATTAATAAAATAATTTTTTTCTTAAATAAAACCTGTTAGATCTTCAAAAAGGTCACGTACATTTTTTCAAAATAGAAGAGTGGTTTTATTGTAATTTCTGCTACTATGGACCACGAAAAAAATCTCGGAGAACAGGAATGGATGAAAAGGATATGAAAAATAATTAATGTTATTTTAATTACAATTTACTATTGATAATCCTATTGTTAATTAGATGTTTACACTATTCTTCAATTTTAATTCTATATTTTTTTTCTTTCAACCAATCTGATAACCTTAATCGAAATGATTCCAATTAGGTTTTCTCTCTTAAGAGATCCTTTTTAAATGTAATACGGAAAAAATTGAAAAAGAAAAGCAGTGGGATCATTTTATTATCATTATTTCCTTAGTTTCTTCCACGCCACATTGCCATACAATGCAGAGATATGACAGTTAAAAAATTATTCCGCGAATTCCATTGTTGGACGGCGACTCGGATGGGAAAGAGATAAGATAAGGAGCCTTTATTTACGTAACGTTAATGTTACAATGTCTCTACGTTCAATAAAACGGTTCATTCAACCATATGAAAGTCGGAAAAAATATACACAGATACGCATAAGATGGACAGTACGTAATGACACCAAAGTTTCGTTTGGATTCCTAAGGCGATGTAGTGGATGGCCTTTAGTTCGGGATGTTTTCATATATAAAATTATTCTTGTCTGTAAATTGTGCTGCAAGAATTATACCAGTTGACATCTTCTCATGATTGTTTCTTTTGTAGTAGTAAGAAGCTTAGTAGTTAGTAGCAGTAAATCTTCTGTTTCTGACCATTGAAATAATTGCAGGGATGCACCACAGACACCTTCTTTAAATTTGTTCGGACCCTTCCCAATAATGCGAGAAAGTATGTGCTGTTGTCTAGTTTCTTATTGAGATCTACTTTACAATATCAGATCTTTAAATCATTTCAAGTGCAATTATTTTAAAATAATTGTAGTTTTCCTTGTATCGTTTGATATTTTCTTAAATGAAGTGAGGTGATAGGATAGAAAATGCATATTATATTATGTAATCATTACCTAGAGAGAAAATATGTGCTGTACCACTAGAATAATATCGATTTGTTCTTACCCCTTCCTCTCCCCCATTTCAGTTCCTAAAGCCCGCGATTTTAAGGGAAGTTCTAAGCTATGTTTTCTTTGCCTTTTTTAATGTTTGGATGCCTCTCTGACCTCTTCTCTGAAGTCTGTATGTGAAGCCAGTAATCCTTTCCGATTGGTAGGCTGTTCCTCTGCACCGATAAGATCTTCCTCGCTCATTTGTCCTTTGACAGGATTTTCTTTTCTCATCCGGAAGGTTTTTCTCATTCCGTTTCTCTCTGCCGATAAACTGGTTTAACCCCATATGATAGAATTATCTAAAGGAAGGAAAAGAGAAAAGAAAAGTCTAGCAGACTTTCCAAGCTTGAAACGTTACATCGTTGCCAATGCAAGGGAGAAAGTTGGCTTAAAGTAAAACTCGTAGAAAAGATAAGAGAGAAATGTGATACCAGAAAGTGGATTAGTGATGCTAAAACTCTCGGCGAATCAGGAGGAGAACACGGAAAGGAAAACTGTTGATGTAGATCAAGGAAAAAAGTGACAAAATTGCGTATTTGATGCTTTTATTTTGGGAAGACCTTTTTTCGTTCTCATATCTGTACATCAAATATAAGTAACGCAGTAGCGAAAATAATCCTCAGTATCCCCTACCATGATGTTAATTTATAAAATTCTCGATTTTGAAAAGCTCACCCGCGCGCGCACACACTTACACTCACACACACACACACACGCACACACACACACACGCACACACACACACA